GCTGGATGGCAATCGGTGACAGAATGGTCGCCTGACTTGGTGTTGGTGTTGGTTCCTGGCGATCCACCGAGGTGACAGACTGACAGAGAGAGAGCAGTGCAGTGCAATGCGATGTGACAGGCGGTGATCACTGCAGCAACTGATGATGGCCAATTGCAGCAATATCACTGGCGTCACTGGCTCTGTGCAAGAAAACAGAAGAAGAAGTAGAAGAGAGGGCGAGGGCGAGAAAAAAAGATAGATAGTGACAAATGGAAGGCGCCAAGTGCAGCGAGGAGGCGTGCGAAAGGAGGTGAGCTGCAATGCAACTGCAATGCAGCAAAAAACGTAAAATCGATGACACGATCGTGTGAGCGGAGAGGTTCAATTCACGTGACGCAACACAAGTCACTTGATGGTGTATTGGGGATAGTCGCTCTCTCTCAAGTGTCGGTTCGATGATTCTCAAACTCGGCAAGGAAAATTAAGTACTCGACAGATTTAGTATTTTAGTATTTTGTATTTTGAAAGATCAGACTAATCAAATTTTTGTTTTGTTTTTCAGTCAGACAAACAGACAGAAACGGAAAAAGTATCACAAAGTCATCCAGTCGGTTAATCGGAGAGAAAGGAGAAACACCGGAAATATTTGATTATAGTAATAAAAACATATGCAATAAGCAAATTAACAGATCAGTTGGGGGTGTGCTTGCTGAACAAACTGTTGCCACTGGTTGAGTAGAAGTTGGTGCAGGTGTTGTTGTTGTTGTTGGGACAAGCAGAGTAATTTATATAAGCCAGTTAAAATTTGAAAGTGTTGCCGGTGTGTAGTACAAACTGAGGGAGAGAGGGAGAGGACTGCTGCTGCTGGTGTAACAGTAACTGAGAGAGCAGTCTTCTTGTTTGGCGTACCGGAGACCGACTGACGGGAGGATTCAGTGAATCTTCTTGCCGTTCTCCTCTGATGCGTTCGGGTGGTAGAAGCCGTAATTACCGTGGGTTGCAACATCACCAGTACGAGCCTTGCGCTTGCGAATCATCTCCGGCGAAACTCGTTTCAAGTCATAGGCCTGTCCAATGGCAGCCATCGCGTTTATGAAAATGGTGGACAGATTGAAGCGCCAGCCCAGCTCCGAAGCGGCGTAATCCCAGGGGAAGACGTGGTGGTAGTTGTGGAACCTGTAGCGGCAGACGACGATGGATAGTTAGTTAGTTTCACACGCCTGACGCATCACACTACTCAAGAAGTGAACAGCACTCGACTGGTACTTACCCCTCGCCAATGGCGCCAATAATGGTGAAGGAGTTTTCCGCCGGAGAGATCTCCTTATCGTATCTGTTCCGAAAGGAGGAGAGGGAGAGAAAAATGTAATTGCCACATTAGTATTGATCAAATGAATGTAATGATATGTGACGTGTGCAGTGTAAGTGTGCGGCTTGTGGAGTTGTTTGTTTGTCAGCACTTCTCTTCTCGCTGATTGCAGCCTGAACGCAAGCCCCAACAGAGCGTGAAGCACATGACATTTAGTTCATTGATTGAGTGTGTATGTATTTCATTCAATATAAGCGATTGCTCCTATCGACTAGCTCTGCTGACAACTTCTTATCAGCACTGCCACCCACCTGTGCGCACCCCCCAGAAAAATGTCAGTACACGTCCCACTGCTGCTGACTGACTTCACATCGTTTCCCTCTCGGCATTGGCACACAGGCACAATCTGCCCACTAAATCGCCGTGAGAATTGCCCCATGATATGAAGAGGGAAAGGTCGATAAATAAACAAACAACAAACATGGAAATCCTGAGTCTGCGAACAACAAAGCCATGCAAAGAGTGTCACATCACTTGGCACTTTACCACCACTTGGCAAATGGTTTACCCAAACTGCCCGTGCACTTGTTTGAAAACCGTGCCAAAGCAAGCGGTGGAAGAAGGAAGAGCAACTTAATCAGCAAGAGAAAAAGTGACACCAAGTGATAACACCACGTTAAAAGTTTGCCTGTAAAACAAACGAAGTGGAATGTGCCGCAAAACAGGGATGCACTGGAAGCCCTGAATGCACTAAAAAGGAAGTTTTTTGGCAGTGGGATTTTAAATTTATTGGTCACTCGTAAAACCGAACTCGAGCTATCCAGTTTGTGACCAGTAGCTACTACAAAATGGCAATAAAACTCTAACTAGACTATACTAGACGACTAGGGCCCCTCACGAGGGGAAAGCGAGTTATTCCAGGCATGCTACTGGTAAGAAGTAGAGTACCTCTGAGTAGATAGGCGCCATGATGTCTACGTGACACCGGGCAAAAGTGTCGCATTCTAACCTAAATATTGCCAAAGCTCGAAACTCCTATGCATAATTCAAGTGCATGACATAGTTCAGTGCAGGCGAAAGAGGCTTCCCTGTGTAGCAGTACAAGTTCTCTCAGCCTGACTGGCACTTGATGCGCGTGCCAAAAACAAACTGCCATACTGTATGTGTGTGTGTGTGTGTGTGTGTGTGTAGTATCATCAAATCACTGCAAGTCTAGCCTCAGTTTCTCAGAATTGATTACGATTAATCTTGCTAATAGCTAGTGTCAGCAGTTGTGGTGATAAAGACAGACGGACTGACAGACAGAGCGATTTCATTGATGATCAGCAAGAAAGTGATATCTGAAGAGGCACGCCAGGCTAGCCGCCACCTCCGCCGCTGATTCATAATAAGTAAAGTAATGCCGGTGGCATTGAGAATTCCTCACTGTAGCTGCTAATTACGAGCCGACTTGAAAATGCCAATGAATGAGTGAGTGAGCACTGACTGAATGAACTGTTCCGCCGCAAGGTGTTTGCAACTTTTGACTGCATCAAAGTGGTTGTTTGTGTACTGTTAGAAGTGTGTTGAAACTTACGGGTGTCGTCCCCAGAAGTGAGCGGCCGAGTTCACCAGCCAAGTCATGTTCAGCGTGAATGCATAGCGAAAGAGGGCACAGATGTAGAAAGCATTGTAGAGCGATTCGTTCCACAGCAAGTGCGGCACAAGGGTGGGAATCACGAAGCAGCAGAGCAGCACCAAGGGTAAGTAGTACCTGGAGGAGATAAACAGTGTGTTCATTAGAAGATGGTCATGAGAAAAGCGTTGGAAAAACAACAACAAGGAGGCATTGAGGAGGAGGGAAAGGGGAAAGGGAAGGGGAAGTGATTGCTACTGGCTGCTTATGGCTGCTGTCATTGGTGACCATCTAAGCATTTATCGAGCAATAAATAGCGTATTACCACTGTGAGTGTGCCTGCACTGCATTATTACTTTGCCACTATTCCTTCGCAGCTAACTCGAGCTCTTGCTCAATCCTTCAGGTGGTTGGAGTCATGTGAGTCATGAGAGGGATCAAACGCTTCGGAAGTAATCGCATCGCATTGATTCAACAGAAAACAACTAGCAAGTTCATCGCTCGAGCAATGACATAAGACAACAACACTGCCTACGACCACTGACTGTATTCACCGCCAATTAAAGTTGTGCCCTAGAGCGGTTGCAACTTTTCATCACATGAACAACTAAAAGTTGCAGCGATGGAAGATTGCAGGCAAAGAAAAAGTTGCAGCACTGCAAAAAAAACTAATAAATGAAATCTTACGATTGCACAATTGATAGTGAACCTCACTAGCGTAAAGCGTGACTAACTGGTGATAGAAGTAACTGCTAAACGGATGATTTGAAGGTAGATGTGCGGGGGATTATAAAGAAAGACTGTCCTCTAAACTACCATGCAGCATCAATAGAGGGCCCAGTTGTGGTTCATCGAGCGAAATATTGAGCGAAAAACTTACTTCTTCTGGAATCGCACAACGGGATCTTGCATGATATCGTCCAGGCTAATTTGACGGCCCTTCTTGATGACCTCGGGATGCTTGCGAACCAGCAGCCAGCCAACGTGGGCAAAGAAGAATCCGCGGTTGGCGTTGTGGGGATCAGCATCAGTCTCTGAATACTTGTGGTGAACTCGATGATCGCGAGACCACTCGTAAATGTGATTCTGTAACGGAAAGAATTTAAAAGTTAGCAATGGAAAAATCAGTTGAGCAATGAAAAGCTAGAAACAAAACTGTACCTGGAAAGCCATGGTCTGGATGAAGGCCAGGAAGATGCGAAGCGGCAGACGGGCCTTGTAGGCGCGGTGAGCCCAGAGACGATGACAGCCAGCCGTAATTCCCAGGCCGCTCATCTGGTAGAAGATGAAAGCTGAAAATGGCAATTGAGGATTAGTTTTTAAAAAATATAGTCAAAGTCACTCATCGAAACTTACCAGCCACTGAAGTCTGCCACTTGGCGGAGACGAAGCACAAGTAAAGGCCATACAGGGCGCTGAGGTGCAGAGCGGCCATGATGATGACATTGCGCCAGACAATCTGCAGCTTGTACTCCTCCTTCTCCTCACCGGGCTTCAGCTTGGTGTCGAGCACCGCGATCGGCTCCAGATCGGGCACATCGTCAAAGATTTCATCGTTGTTCTTGATGAAGGGCGGCATGGTGTCGTGCGCTCAAAGTTGGGGTCACTAGGCGGTGAGAATCCCAAATCTGAAAGAAGATGGGGAAAATTAATGTTAGTAATTGTGACTAGAAAAATCAGTTAATTAAGAAGTTTTAAATAAGTTAATGACAATGGAAAGCACTTTCATTTGCTAAGCAACCGTAAAATAGCGTAATTTATTTGTCAACACTATTATGCAATGCTTTCAATGGCGTAACCAATGCAAATTTCAAAAGTACTAACGCATTTTCATCTTGCGTGAATTAAGAAAAAAAGTCAAGACAAATTTTAAAACAAACAAATTCAGGGGCGTATAAAAGCACTTGACTAACCTAAAAATAGCTGCACGTCAATAGTTTATTAGAAATTGAAGCTAACAATTGGCAAAAAGCAATAAAACTGCCTAAGCAGACGTCAGACTGTGACTGAAAGTGTCCGGTGTGAACAGCATTTCAGCCTTTCTTCAGTGCTGCTTGCACTGCCTGCCGTAGGAAACCTACGAAAACTGTGAGAAAACCTCTAAACTACTGCGCTCAGGACCGCTCCGACAACATTGTCAAATAGTAAAAAGATATGAAAAACAAACAAGTGACTCGACTGCAAAGTAAGTGCTAGCAAAAACAATGAAAAGGCAAACAATCTTTACCAAAAGGGAAGAAGCGGAGAGTGGTTGAGAATCGAATTGAAAACCAGAAGAAAACCCAAAAGTGGTTGTTGGTGAAAACAAGTAGGTGAGCTAAATCACAGTGGAAGACAAAGATTGAAGTGTGACCAGTGGCATAAAACCTGGACGAGCTTATATATGATGAGCAAAAAGGCAGACGACAAAAAAACTGGAGCTGTGGCTGCACGAACTCGCCTTTCTGATGATGATGATGATGCGGCTGGTGTCTTATCGGTGATCGGTATTAATAGACTCACACACTACCAGCGTGTACACAAGTGGAGAGCTAAGTGGGAACAATCAGTGAGAGTTGATAGGCATGAGGTCTGGTGAAACCAGTAACGCTTGGACTGATGGGTCGATGCGGTCTTTTGCTCCACTGTATTCAAACACAGAAGGTAGGTAGCCCTCCTCTTCAGCGCATTTCAAGCTGTATATGCTGATAGATGTTTGGTTGCAGGGGCGTACCACAACACAACACTATGGGTGGACGACTACGTGATGCAACGATGCAAACACATGCAAAATCATCCGCTCAGATGGTGATGACTAGTAGCTCCAGTTACTCCATTGGCACAGCTCTAAATAATCTAGAGAGTCAAAGTGGCCGGCGTCTCCCCCTTTCCCACTACCACTGTCTCCGACTGGCTTCCATTTACAAGAGAAAACAACAATAATACTTCCAGTGCCACACTGAAAAAAGGGAAACACAGGTTTCCCCTCTACCTGCAGACGAAACAATAAGTCGCCTACTACTACAGCACCACCACAAGACAGGAATTTGTGGCGGATGTGTGCGAGGAAAATGGGCGCAAACACCGAGTGCACAATAGTAGAGGGGCAGGCGAGTGTCATTTCCTTCCATTGCTCAACGAGTTCAGCTGCCGAACGGCAGACCGAGACGACAGTGAAAACAGTGGTGCCGCAGCAGCATGTTCAGTGCACATTGTGTACACACTGTCGTCCTCAGTTGCTGGTTCTCCTGCCAACAACACAGCACTGCTGAGTGCACCACCTTGCAATGGACCAAGACGGCTGATAGGCTGTACGAACATTACTATCAACAACAGTCTGGGTAGTGTTTGGCTGAACATCGGCGAGGGTGATACAAGTGCACCTCCAAGAGGCCGAGCTACATTTGGATCTGGCGACCGCCACTTGTACTTGCACAGAGAGAAGAGTGACTCGGTTTGGGCGCATCCTGAGGACGTGGTGACTCTTCGCCCGTTGCCGTTGTTTGCAAACAGCCACTTGTACCAGAGATTATGATGACAACCATTGATGCAAAATAGTACACAAATACTAACAAATATTGTTAATTGTGTGAGTGTCACTAAACGACAAAGTGTAAACACAAAATTAATGTGTCTTCAGCGGTAGCAGTTAGGTAGTTAGTTATTTAGTTTGAAAACATAAAAAAGAGTTCTGTTAACTAAAACTGGGCTTTTAGTAGTGAAAAAGTGGATACTGAAAATCAGTGAGCCATGCGGATAGGCGGCTTCCTTGAGGCAGATTGGTGCGTGAAATCGACAAAACACGAAAAAACTAGCAAAAGGATAATAAGCGGATATATAAATAACAAGGCAGCTTTCACTATCCGATTGAACAAACACAGTCAAGGTCATTGTCATGTGGAAACTAGATTAATTTGTAGTAGCATGAATATTTCACTTCACAAGAAAAATACTGATCACGTCATTTTAAAAAAGTAATTAAAAGTTTAAAAATGATACATACTAGGTCAGAATGCTGAGGATGACGAGAATGACAATGAGGTTAGTGTAACATTGAATTTTTAAAAACAAGCAGGTAAGGTATAGTCTGTCTGCTACAATAGACCACTGCGGCTAGTACGGGGGCACTGTTGAGTGGTGGTTCTGCCACAATACAGTTACACCTACCGTATCTCTGTACAGTCTTTGGACTACAGTAACAAGGACAACGAGAGGGGCAGTGGTGATAAAGCGAGGGCGGCATGCGCTGGCAATGTGGCCAACTCAACTGTATTTTACCAGTTAAATGATGATAAATTGGCACCGGTTTCTCTCTCCTCTTTACATCATCTGATAGATTAGGGCAAAAGTAGCCGGCTGGTGGGGTACACATCGAAAGATACAACACGGGCATTAGGGTCGCATATTCCTAACGAACGAAACTGCACAAGGGATGCTGACTAAGGAAAATGGGTTCATTTAGCAACTGGTCACTTGACTGGTTCACACAAGACTTTCTGGTTCATGCAGCAATACATTCAATGTGTGTGACTCAACATCCACCGATTAACAATGATTAATAAAACAAATACAAGTCCAACCGTAGTTGCTGTAAGAACAGCTTAAAAATATAATCGATGAAAAAATACATTAGGTACATTCTTTTTTATTAAGGAAGTTTCATTGCAATAAAAAGTTGCCGTCTAAAGGCAGTGTCTACCAGACTTGGTGTACTAGCACAGGCTGCAACAACTTACTAAATGGCATGACTGATAAGACCATCGATACACACTCTTTTTGCTGCTTAAAGCAGCTAATGATAATAACCGAAATGACTACAATGAGCACGAGCTGGTTGCGTGCAGTTTGGAGTTGGATGCCAAGTGATGCCAACTAGCGTCATCAAGCGACATCAAACGAAAAAAATTATTTAACAATAAGTCATTCACCAAAAACATAAAAAAAATAAAATACCGGCCTAGTCAAAAGACTGTCACTACACGTGTTTGGAATCATAGTTTTGGCATCTATTATCTAAACAGTGTTATGATAATTGACGAAACAACAAAATAAATGAATAAAAATGCATAATTATCAGGTATTGCTGCTATCACATGTCACTTGAAAAGCTAATTGAAAAGCTAATAATACATTTAAGCAATTGTGTCATTGCTAGGAAAACTACCTAAAACAATAATTTGTAGAGTAAAAACTGTGCAAATAAGAGTGTCAGTTAGTTGTTGACATACGTTTTGAAAAGGTGAAGTTTGAGTTGATATTCACCAAAAAAATGCTGTTGTTTTGATCAAGAATTGACATTGAACTTGAAAAAACTGTGTTTGTACTGACAGTTACTGACAGTTAACACACAAAGATGATCAAAATTGAGTCAAAATGAAGAAAATCTCGACACCTTGATAAAGAACGTTATTCAACAACATACCTTTTACGTTTCTTTTATAGAGAATAGAGAGGATGATGATCAAGAGACCGGCGCCAGTGAGGTGGCAACGACGACCGGCGAAACGAGCTGACGCCTGTACGGTAATTTACCAATCTAGACGAGGAGAGAAAGGCGGAAGAGTGAAACTAGTATCAAAATTAGATAGCAAAAAGCACTGGTTACCGGTTGTTTTGGAACAGTTTCAGGAGCAATGCTGCGGAGAAATAACACTGAAATTGCTTTGTTTTTTTTGTTCTGGAATTATTGGCAGGCGACGACCTTTGCGCATGGGTAGGAAAAATAGCGGCAAAATTCAAAACGATCGATTTCGTCATTTCACACACTGGTTCATTTTCACGTGCACAATTTTTCCGATAAACGTATGTTTTTGTAGGTTATTTTTTTCACCTCAAAATTGGCAAACAGGTAAATTTATAAAATGCGCAAACACCTTTAAAACCCAATCTATCATTTTGTTTTGATCAGAATCACCTTTTATGGAAAAACTTTGAGTTTGATAACTCGCTTATTTCAACTATAACGTAAATCATTTCTAAGGTACATTTTTTTGCCTTTATATTTACTTATATTTGTTTGCAATTTGGTTGTTTCATTGATTAGAAAAACAAAAAGAAAAACGCTGGTCATCTTCCTGTTCAAAAGTTTTCAGAACATGTCTTTTTGTTCCCAGTTCAGTGAACTCATAACATTTGACCAGCGATTCGTTCTTCTTAGGCGCATCTGTCACTGTTTTTTATGTGACACATTTCATTTCTTTTTAAACTTGAAAAAACCAGTCACTGCAAACAACTGGTTCAAGTCATTTACGCCCATAGACACACAGACACAAACACAAATCGCCTTCACAAAGTCATATTGTCTGTGGCCTCACCTTAGGAAGCAATAAAACTTGACAAAAGTGTCACTGAGTGCACAGTTTGCAGGTAGACATGCTGTGTTTGCACACCAGTTATTCAGTTTGCACTCATCACTGCTGTCACCATTTTTCACCTGCTCACAAGCACTAAACGACATTCATCAGCTCGGCAATGATGTTGCCTTTACACCAAACTTATTTGTGAAAAGTGTAATTTCAATTTGGTGACTTTTGCATATAATAAAATAGTTTTCATTTTCGGACTTCACTGTCCAAATTTGACTATTTTTCCATCGGAAGCTACTTTCCTCCTACTTTGTTGTTGTTGCTCTGTGCATGTCTCCATCTAATCGACACTTTACGTTTTATGCAATCACCGACAGAGGTAAACACATTTCAGTGCTCTAACTCGAGCAACACAGGAGTAACACAAGTGAGCGTTAATGTAAAAAAGAGGCTGATGCTGCACTTGTTGACTTTAAAAGGAGTCGCTTTTAGAGTAGGCTGAGATTTGCTAAAACAGAGAGAAAACTGGCTGTCAAAGTAAAGTAAAGTTGCCTCGGCGTCCTCTTACTAAGGCGCGATAATAAATCTAACGACGTCTCTTTGTATTTGTGGATTAATAATGCCATTATATGTTTGCATTGTACAGGACGCGAAATATGTGTGTGTGAGTTTGCTTGCTTCAGTAGACGAGTGTTTCAGCTTTCCGCTGCCTCGTCCGGAGTCTTTGGCGCAAAGTATAGCAAGGCTGATGGTTGATAATCAGTAAACACACACACACAGGACAAGTGAAAACCGCAAAGAAAAGTAGAATGAATGATTTGTGCTTGTGTGTGTGCGACTGGCTGCTGCTTGTGAGTGACACTGTCGGAGTGATGCGATGTGACGGCGGAGATAACGAAGAAGATGTGCAAAATGCCATGCTACGAAAAAGGGCAAAACGACTGCTTACCAGTGCCAGCGAGTGAATGCGATGTCTCGCCGATCAATGAAAGCATCATTGGCACTGATGATGGTGATGGTTCTCTGTTGGTCAGCGTTCCCAACCTGTAACAGCAACAGTCAGCTGAACCAACACAGCAGCACAATGAGCTGGTACGCTATTGTACTCGACTGGACAACCACCAAAATGTGCATTTTTTAAACTGAAATCATTCCTTTTCCTGAATCTGGTCTTTGAGACTTGTCAGTAGACGCCTTAGCACTCACAAACAGAAAAAAACATTTGCACTCACCTGTTTTCTCGTTCACTCGACAACCGTTATCGACAACGTTGCTCGACTTTCATTGCCTGCCACCGGCTCCGACTCAACCGACAGTCAACACATGTGTTTCACCCCAATACACAACGACCATCACCACCAGCATTTTCCGTGTGTTCGATAGCTTTGTGTCATTTTACTGGCACCATCACAACGGCTGCTCTCGAATGCTACAAGTGGTTGCCCCTTTTTAATTTACAACCGTTCTCTTTTTCTTTTTCCTGCTGACTGCTCGTGTGTGCCCTCAAAAAAAAGTTGTGCTAGATCGATAAGCAAACAAGAAACAATCTGTCGACTACTCTTCTGTGTTCTCCTTACCTGACCGTTTCTAATTAGAGTCTTTTGCTGAGCTTCTGTGTTGGGCAAAACGGCGACAGTGTAAACAAAAAAGTGTTCATCCTCAGACACTCAGTGATTGAGTTCTGATAAATAAACTTCAGAAAAATGTGACTCCGATTTTTATCTGTTCTTCAAATCAGCTGTGACTGTTTCAATTAATCATTTTTGAAAATCAAAACATAAGAAATACTTGCATTTTGAAACTTGTTTTTGAACGGAAAAAACATTGATTTTGTTGAAAACAACTCATTGAAGTAGTCACATCCTCTATCATGGGCAACAGTAAATCTTCACACCAGTTGTCGCACAGTTTTGATAAGGAGTAAGTACTTTAGTTATTCTAAACTATTTATTGTTTCTAATGATTGGTGATTCTTTGAGCAGCACTGAATTCAACAGTGAAGCCGATGATGGCGGTTTTTTGGAGGCAAAACTCAAAGCCCTTGAGTCGGCGGCCATGAGCCGTGGTCAGGCCGGTCGCAAATCGTTTCACTACATTCGCATGAAAGAAAGCGAAAACCTGGCGGCGTCTGTCGGACAAGTCAATGGCGGACAGTACGATAAGGAGCAGCTGATTCGCGTTCACTCGCTGCCGGCAAATCGAGTGAAGAAGAAGAGCAACACTTTGGGCGCCAAGAGAATTGACGTCAACGGAAAGGGCAATAATCATGCCAAAATTCCCGTTCAAGGTAGTGTTCAGGTTGCTCCCACCAGGCAAAACAAACTGATTTGTCTTCTTCTTTCATCAGGTTTCGACATGTTTCGCCATCATCTGGGGCAGATGAACTGTGATGTTGCGCTTTTTGAGCAACTCGAAAGTGATATCAACACCTTGAATGCAAAGTTGCAAGACCTCGAGCAGACACGACAGGACTGTCTCGCCAGACTGTCTGAACTTGACAGTGATGTTCGTCAGGGCCAACTGCTTACAGCTGCCAAGGTGTCAAACAAAAGAAGTAAGGCAAATGATTTGGCTTTAAAAATCATTGGCAACTACATTACCAGGATCGACAACTTGCTCAAAGTTGAGGACGAGCCGTTTCTTGTTGATGTGAAAATCAAAGAGGTCACAGCGCCAAAAAGTACCCAGCAGCAGTCCCAGCTCCAGTCACTTTCTAGTCAATTTGAGGCATCACTAAAAGTCGAAGTCCCCTCTTCCTCAAATGTTCCTGCAAGGGAAAAGAGACAGCAAATAAAGGAGGCGTACAACCATCTCATCAAGTTCATCATGCCAAAACTATTCGGCAAGCAGTTTGCCCATCGAGATGAGGCCAACTACCGTGGTTTTAAGCAGAATCTAAGTCAGCTGAGAGAGCAAGTGAACTTCATCAGCACTAGCGATGAGCAAAAACTGATGGATGCAAAGAGAATTTTCCTACAAGAAATGGACTGCTACTTGAGAACAATCGATGAAATGGTCACCTGCTCGGAAAAAGAGTGCCAGCGGTGTAAAGTTACTAGCTGATAAAAAGAGCTCTTTTTGTACATAACTCAATCCTTTTATTTTGCACTTTTAAGCAAACATGCACTCTAATGTAGAATAAAGCAAGTGTGCGTGCCATCGGATATGTTGACGGTGACGTCTTTGGTCATCTTGAGCAGATCAAGATTGGTTTCAATTGTCAGCTTGTGATTGGCCATGCTGTGCTTCGCCTGGACGCCATCAATGGTCACATTGAACGTCTGGTGCTTGGGATTGGGCACGGCAATGTTGATGGCGCTCACCTTGAGGATGTCCACAGAGCCAGCCGGAGTGTGGAATCCTCGGTGGGGTGCCTTGATGGTCAGCTGGCACTGGTGCAGAGTGAACTCGTAGTAGTTGTAGTGGCCGCTCTTCACGGTGTCAATGCTTTCTCCGTCATCATAGAAAAGTGTGCCGTGGGCCATTGCCGTCGAACTGGGCAGCACCCACAGCTCGATGGGCACCTTGCGAAGGTTGGCGCTGTTCAGGGGTTTTGGCAGAGCGTGTTCGGCCACCACTGGCAGAATGGACTCTGCTTTGAAGAGAAGCGGAGCAGACGATTCTTTGTCGGTGAATTCAACCTCAGTTGTTGGCGCTACTTTGGTGACGAAATCGCCTGAAAGCTTGTACCACTGAGTGTTTTTCGGAATGTACGCCTTGACGCTAGTTTGATGCTGTAAGTACAGTTTTGTTTGTTAATATTATTGAAAAACACCAGTGAAACTGTTACCTCATAGAGGAATGGGTTGACGAGAATCGATGAGCCAAGGAAGAATCGGTCGCCAATCTGGCGAGCTGCCGGGTCATGGGGAAACTCGTGAGCGAATGGTCGCACCAGTGTGGATCCATGTGCGTGGGAGTGGTAAAAGCTGGTGTAGAGGTAGTGCAGCAGTTGGTATCGAGTTCTCAGTGAGTCAACGGCTGCCTTCGTAACCTCGGGGTATCCCTTCTCAACGTAATATCCTGGATCTTGGTCATCACTTCCCATTGCATTGTGGGAGCGGCTAAAGAAAACGAAAAAGTATTAACACAAGTATGTTACTAGGTAAAATTTACCTAAACGGATAATAGGCTCCAAGTTGAAGCCAGCGACCTGAAGAATTTAAAATGGCAATTTGATTAGAGAATTTCATTGAAAAGTTTTAGAAAGTCCAACTTACGGCAAAGCTCTGGCGAAGTGTTGCCGATGAAACCGCAGATGTCAGCACCCGTCTAAAGATGTTCAATTTTCAAGAAAATAAGCAAATTGTGGTGATTTTTGTTGTGCAATCATCACTTACATAACTAATTCCGAAGAGACTAAACTGAAGCATGCCAATGATGGACTGTCTCATCTGTTCCCAGTTGGAAAAGTTGTCGCCAAGCCAGTGGGCAGCATACTTGCCCGAAGTCGGGTAAGTCGATCGGGTGACCACGTAGCCTCGCTTTCCTGTAGCCGCGTGAACAGCCCTACAAACAAAAAGTTTGTACAAATTGTAAACTCTAAACAACTGTTAAAGCTTACTCCGAAGTGGGAATGGTTTCACTCCATCCGAAACTAAGTGCAAATAAAAAATAATTAGTTAAAAACTGCTGAACAACTGGTGAAGAGATTTCCGTACAGGCTATGCACATCGTAGTGTCGGTATTCACCGTGTTCTCCTTGAACGCCAATCATGCAGAGTGTCGCCGCTTCCAGGCTATCTTTGAAGTTAAGGCTTGCTGCAAAAACCAGAAAATTAATTATTAACGTTTTATTTAATTTACAAGTAAAACACGTACGAACAGAGTTTGCCAAACTATTTTTGGGGCACTGGAGGATATTGCTGGCAGCAAAGTTGGACGGCTCATTCATATCTGTGAAAGTAGAAATTCGTTAAATTTTGAAACATTGCTTTTACGATTTGCAAAAAACATACCAATCCAAATGGCGTCAAAGGGAAGTGTTTTGTGAAACTCCTTGTGCATTTCTACCCACCACTGTTTGGTAGCGTTCTTGAAAAAATCGGGAAAAGCTGAAACAAAACATTGGTTATTTGCATGTGGTAAAACGGTATCAGCGCTCATAAATAATTTTCCAAAAGTGTACTATCTCTACAAATGCTCTCATTTGCATATCCACTAACCTGCTGGACCATTAGGCCACACATGGCCGTACAAGACTCCCTTATCAGTTGGAGCATTTCCAGGTTTCGTCCGCTGTGATGCCGGCACCGATTCTGGCCACTTGATAAAGACGTCCTTTTTGTAGCCTTCATCAAATGCACGGTACCCTGGCTTGTCGCCTTCAATGGCTGGATCAAGGCTGCAGTCAAATTGATTTAGTTAATTCAAAGAAGCCTTTCTTTTGTCTAACACCTACATTAGCGTCCAGCGAAAGTTGTTCTTCTCTTTAGTCTCTTTGATGTATTCAGGCAGTCCAATAAAGTTGACGGGATCATAGGTGAAATCACGGCGTTCATCCTGTACAATGTTTTAAAATGCTACATTACAAATGATAACTTTTAGTTGACTAGCTGTACCATGTAGTCAATGTCAAGATATTTCACGTCCTGAAGATGAAAAAAGGTTAAAATTAATAGTGAAAAACAGCAATCACCCATTTAACTCACAATTGGAACGTTATGCTCAAGATTTCGCTTGACAACATTTTTCACTTGATCCAAATTTTTGTAACCGTATCGGCAAAGTTGAAATCCTAAATATCAGAGCATATCGTATTAAAACAATTCATTGTCTGTGAATATGGCAAATAAGCCAACCTAAGCCCCAGAAAGGCGGCATAACCGGCTTTCCAATGACGGAAGTGTACAGCTGAGTCACTTGCTCCGGGCTGTCGCCCACAAATACAAAGAGATCAATGATGCCACCCAGAGTTTTAATAGCAATCGCAGGTGTTGGCAGCATCGTATAGGCTGATAAATGAACAAATAGTTAGTGCGAGATTTTTGTTGGCCAAAACAAGTGCACATACCCATGGCGTTACTGTTCAAAAGAAGGACACCGTGTGCCTTGCCATCATTTTCAATGACATGGTAGTACGGATGAACTCCATAGTTGTTGCGCTCTTTCTGCAAAATAAACATTTTTTTGTTGTATGATATATTATTTAAAATGGCAAAAGCTTACCTCTCCCATAGGCCGATCTCGAGCAAATAGAGGATATGTCTTGTAGTCGAAGTTGTGCTTAAACTCAGTTTGGTAGTTTTCTCCAATTCCGTAGACGTCTTCCGTTGCCACATGAGTGACAAACTGAATAAAGTTGTCTCCATAGATTAGACCTCCGATTGAAGTATCGATGCTGCATAAAAAATGTTATTTTTAGAATATTCATCTTTGTGCAATCTACTCACATCTTTGTGCCGGTGCCCTTTCGGCTGACAACCAAATTGAACTTTTCCGTCAAAGAGACGTCGTATTTGGTCACTTTTGGATTAGTGTTTGGAATGTTCAGCTCATGTTGAATGGGCACCTCGTATCGTTTATTCTTTGGATCGGTGATTCGCACTCTGAGAATGCTCTCTGACAAGTAGTGGACTTCAAGTTTCAAGTTTTCAACTTGCGCAAATGGCACTGACTTGTGCGCTTCAGGGTTCACTTCAAGAATGGCTTCCAGGCCGCTCGTTTGATGAATTACTGATCCTTTCAGATGATATCCGACTTTACTAGTGTCCAAGTAGCACCACGGAATGTGCGACCCTACAGTGGACGGCGTCCAAAGGCACTCTTTTTTGCGACATTCTTGCTCATTTATTGATTGCTCTTTGAAATAAAAAATTTTTATGATTAGACTTTTGAATAAGCAAAAAACGTTTTTACCAGTGAGCTCACAGTCCAAACGATGCTCGCCAGGAGCGGCAAAGACACCACAAACAGCAAAGCCCACAAAAAGTGCGAGTTTTAGCGTCATCATCTTCTGTCGTCAAGTTCTTGAAGAGCAAGTCTTTGCCACTTTATATTGGGTTTCTTATTGTTTTCCAGTGTTGTCACAACCGCTGATAGCTGTTCCAAAGCATTTTTAGTACTGATTAATGCACTTAATTTGGTTGCATATTGCCCCCCACTTGTGTTAGCCCAGATCCTGCACTTAAAAACATAAATCTATTAGATTTGCGGTTAGTAACAATTCATTACTGGTGATAGTTTTTCACCTCAATTTCACTACTTTATCAAATAGTAAACAATTAAAAATGACATAATCAAGGTTAGACTTTGGAGAGCACAAAACGATTAGCCAATAAACACACTCATAAATATCCTCTTTATCAGTTGGTATCTTTATCGTCGAGTATCAATTTTTGATTTATTATTATCATAATAATTAAAACGTTTAGCATTATTACAATAATTTCATTTTATTTAGAGCGTTATTTAGTCATTTTTAAAAATAGTTTTATTGACAGTTAAGATTTTTTACTGGCAACTTTACAGGGAAAATGCGGAACCTAATAGTGTCAATCAATCAGTCATCTTGTCTTGTCATCGATGCACTAAAAAGCAACTGAAAATGTGTTGATGCGACGGCAATTGTAGTGCTGGTAGGCATTCTCACTGGTGAGCAGCACCAAGTCAGACTAGTTTGACTTGCGAGTGGCACGACTTTTATGGGCTTTGTGTGAACACTTTGAAGTGATTGACAAATAGACAATGGCAACCTATTGAAGCCTATTGAAGATCGGTTACTACACCTTTGTCAATTGTATTTTAATTTGTTGTCGGTCAACAACGTTTTACATTTTTGTAAAAAAAGTTTAAAAATTGATTGAATATTTGCATACAACGTTAAACTTTTTTAGCTTGGTTAGCAAATTAATGAAATGGTTTGTTTAATTAAAGTTTTTATTGCATTTTTGAATTAATTAGATCAAAAACCATGATCACACTGTCTAGCATATTGACGGAAACTGCTAATTGGCTAGGGGAGAACAATGCCGACAGTACTGCTTTGCGTGACAGTTAAAAAGGTAAACAGTGAAAAAGAACGACTACAAAATGCGCCCAGTGCCTGCCCGCATCGTTGCTGCTGTCGGTGGGCAGCAAGTTTTGCGGAAATTGATATGTTTGTCTTTGTGTGGTAATGAGCAAATTAGATTTACATCAGCACTGACAGGCACAGCAGGGGCAGTGTCAATGTAATGAAGGAAGGTGCACCTTGCACCCAGTGCAGCTCACTTCATAACGTGATGACAGATTTATAACGGGGGGCTTTTCATTCCTTTGTAACTTCTAGCACCTCTGCACAGATTGCCGCACTTGTTTCATATTTTTGTTTGATTTCCTGAAAAATGTATTTTGTTTAATTTTGAATAAAGCTATAACGTAGCAAATAAATGCTCAAGTATGTTTTGCTTTTTAGAAACTAGTAGCACTAGTAGAGCAACAAATGAATGGTAAATAATAATGCCAAAGGTGGAAGCTACAACAAGTGTTTTTGGTTGTTTATATCGCGGCGACTTCTAATTTCTTCCTTTCTCTTTTACTGTACCATTGTCCTTTCTTCACAGTGTCACACCCAATTGTACAAACACAGGCTGGCATGTCTCCTCCATAGCAATTGCTCATGCCACACACCAACTTGATGAGCACTTTATCAGTGACAATTAATCTAATAATGCAATTTGCTATTGCTAATTAATTCAACAATTTAGAGATGACAATCGACTTTAAGGTGATGACAATGTAAAGTCCAAGAGCACATTTACATCAATTCAGCTGCATCAACCACTGTGCTTTTCACCACCACCATAGCCACCACCACTATCATCATCATCATCGCCTCTATTGCCATCATTGTCTGCCTTTACTTTCCCCTAACCGGTAGTGCGTAGATTTTGTAGTAGCCGCAGTTGGCAATCTGATGGTCGAGCGATGACCACTGGAACAAATGCAGGTCCAAATCGTAATAATCTAGAGCACATGCTCTTTTACATTTTGATAATGAAAAGTGCGATTATCTAGACCATAATGTCGTTGCAGTGGCAGTGCATTGCGGGTGCTCTCAATTCAGTGGCAATGTGGTCGTGAATTACGGCATCAGTCAAATGAATGCTTCAGTAGGTTAATTTGAATTTGAATTTGATCAAGCACTTGAATAGTAAATCTCCCTTTATTTTACCTGACTTAAGATGGAAGGCTTTCTTCTGCAAAGCTAAAATAATAATAAACTAATGGGAAAATAAAAAGGGGATGCGAATGCAAAAAGTTTTATGAGCGGTTTTACGAGAATCGATTATGAAAAAAGTGTTTTTCAAATGACGACAAAACAGAGGCCTGCCATTGTGCAGGGCAATTGTTTGCTCCAATTTAGGTATACGATGAGGTCAGTTGTAGAACAACGACTAAAACAAGTCGGTTAAGTATTTGGACAGCGATTAGCGGTGTCAAGTTGCTGAAGTAGACAGATGTACGCCTATCATCAAGAGCATAATACCTGTTACACTATCTGTAACACAAGTCATAATTATTAGAACTGCGCAGATAATTTGATACAATTTCAAGATCATTTGAAAAATGAAACCTTTTTTTTCTAGAAATTTTTTTATAGTTTGTTGAAATTGATAGTGCTAGTAATAATAAAGATGCTTTGTTGACCTTACTCTTTTTGCGGTGAAATGCCGAGGTTTTCAAAAACGACATTCATCTGCAATAGCTGCCAATTGATTGAACAATAGTGGTGGACTTGTTGCTGCTGCACATTCCTTGTCCCAAAAAACGCATCCCTGGCATGTGCAACGTCTTAATTGGTCAAACAAAGCTGTTTGAGAAATGATGCTTACGAAATGAAAACTATGCTACCGCCAAAGAAGCTAATGAGAGGCAAATAATGGTGGGCCATTTAATGATGGGACGACAATTAAAAGGCGCTCTCTGTGGCTTACTGTGCTGCAATGCAGACAAACGGATGGGATGGAACGACGGGACACTGGACGCCTGCGGAAATAAGTCTTAATTGTGGGTAAATGAATGCTGATGCATCCTTTGCTGGGAAACGCTGGCCACACTACCACACTGCAAGCATTATGGCGACAAAAGACGGCTATATTAAAAGGGCTTTTGTTTGCTGTTTAGAGGACAGTAGAGAAAAAATATTACTAAATAACTTTGATAAGGTGACAAAACAGGGGCTTGTGCAAGTGATGCAACTGAAAACGCGTCTTGTTCCGGAGAAGAGATACAGTGTTTCAAAGGACACACAATCTGAAAACAATTTAGGCGCATTTGTGGAGTGCTATAATTATTTCACAAGCAGTAAGACACTTTGAGATTCAGCAATATTGAAGCAAAATAGAGAAAAATCAGAAAAAAACATTAGTGCTGAATTGACTCCATTAGTAGTAGTGCTTGTTGCGTGTTTTAGTTTTTAAAATTAATTTTTTGTAATCTTGTATATCAGAAATAGCCATGATGTGTAGTTGAGTAACGGCAAATTTTTGTTTCCTCATTCTATTGTAAAGTGGGCAACAGTGCGGATGAAAGCTAAATGAAACTCTTTAAAAATAAATTTGCACACTTTGCAAGTGTGTGCTGTACGTGTCTTTTGTGTAGCGGTCACTAACTTGCTCAAATTGCTTCCCGCTCTGTGGGAAAGTTTTGAATAGGCGAAAAGTGGTAGGCAATCAATTGATACAACAGTTTGGCGATCGATGGCAAATCGATTAGTCCTCTTACACCCGTTGAATGCCGATAAATTGGCCGACGATGCTTTGTAATAATCTAAATGTCTAACAAGGAGAGTGAAAATTGCTACTTCACTTGAAGGCAGTTGGTCATTTGGCCATGTTGCCGAGAACTAATTGAGGCACGTACAAGCGTAGCATTAGCCAACACGAGCAGTAGTGGTGAGACAGCATCGTTGGCAAAAAACACAATGCCTAAACTTAAAATGTATTTGCCTGTGTGTGGTTCCTGTGCTTGATGTGTCGCCTGATGCACCTGAAATGAAATTATCCTTTCGGTCAAAGCCATTGCCGTGTGAGGAGCTCACTGAGAGCACTACCAACATTACCGCCATTTGCATAATTATCTCCCCTTGTTTATAATTACCGCACTCTCGGTTATGCTGACAGGCATAAACGCTGGTGGCGATGTTTCGCTCAGTGTGTGCTGTGTTTATTATGCGGACACATTTAAAAAGTGTTTCGATGATGTATTTCATTTTGACCAGCAACATAGGTAGGCAGCAAGTTGCCTGTGGTAATTGTCGAAATTCACTTTCAACAGGAGCAGCCACAACAATATCGCAGAAAAAATCTATTATCTAGTAGCAATCTTTAGTGATGATAAATTTGAGTTTGGGACTTAAGGTTAGGTTGTGATTAGTGCCCTCAAGACTCTGTGATCTCCCAGCGTCACTATTGACTGCAATTAGACGTGATAAATTGCATAGATGATAGATCGACGTGCCATTGCCAGGCAGACAATGCCTGACGACCGCACCAGTGTGGCACACTGTAAATGATAGGTTTTTGGTGGACTGCCTTCCGCGTCGGAGAACGACGATTCCTAAAAGTCTATGTCTAAACCGAGCAACCACACACTGCCGACACAGATGGATTAAAGAGGAGAAACCGTACAAAACGTTTGCACACTAACCACAGACAGTGTTGGCAGAAAGCAAAGGAAGCTGACTTTAATTCTAATTGATATTACAAAAAGGTGATGGTGATCACTTTGCCTGGTAACACCTGTGTCAACGACTCTCTCACCACAAAAGATGTCATAAACGGCACAGCAAGATTAGGTTATGCACACACATATTCTCACCCATTAGGCAGAAAAAATGTCGTTTTCACTAAACAGGCGTTAATGTATTCTGTGACAGTGTATATTGGAAGATCTGCGCTCACTAAACGGTGTTTCTCAGTTGTAAACGCCTTTCACACCTAACCTGCCACTTATCACATAATGTCT